ACAGAGACAGAGAGAGAGAGACAGAGACAGAGACAGAGAGAGAGAGACAGACAGAGAGAGACAGAGAGACAGAGACAGAGAGAGAGACAGAGAGACAGACAGAGAGAGAGAGACAGAGAGAGAGACAGAGAGACAGACAGAGAGAGACAGAGAGACAGAGAGACAGACAGAGAGAGACAGAGAGACAGAGAGAGAGACAGAGAGAGAGACAGAGACAGAGAGAGAGAGACAGAGACAGAGACAGAGAGAGAGAGAGACGGCTGCTTACTTTGTGTCAAACTCAATCAGGTTTGTGTCGATCGGAGCTTCATCTGGAGCTGCAGAGGGGTTAGAAAACATGACGTGTGATTCAAGAGGAAGTGCACATTTGAACCTGCTTTTAAATACAGTGTGATGAATAACACTAACACTAACATACTGACTGAAATACTGACATTTCTTAACAAATGTATAAAAAATCATCATTTCACTGTCCGCTGTTTTAAAACAGTCTGAGACTGAATCTATAAAACTGTAGAGCTCTTTCATTATAGAATAGATATACTGTACATATTTTCATAAACTCTTTCATATGCTAATTATATTTATATATATGTTTCTTGACTTTTGCAGAACTTGTTTTTATTTCCATGTTTATTGTTATGCAGAAAAGATAAAGCTGAATTTATTGTTTTGTCTCAAACTGATCTGAAACATCAACGACGTCTGGTGATTATTTTTCAAATCATCGTCTGGTTTCACTTTATTGCTTTGAAGATCAAGTTGCAGAGACACGACCCACCAAATGATCTGATCCTATCAGCAGACAGGAAGCTGATATCCTTCAATGCTGCAAAGCCATTGAACATTTTTAAGATTCCTTCTTTATACAACATCAGTGCATGTAGCAGCGGCCACAGACAAAATCCAAAACACAGCAGGACATCAATATCTGGAATGTTATCGTACTGAACATCAGATATTAAACATGTTGTAAACATGACTCACCGTCTCTGTAGATGGATTCTTCTAAAGGCTTCGGGTGCATTAATGTGAAAGGCAGCTCAACAGAGACGTCACTGAAAAACAAATCATTTGCTGTACAACCGGTCATAAAACGCCAATAATCCACAGCAGCTTTATTAAAGACATTTGTGGGACCATTATCAGTGAGAGATTCAGGTGACCTTTGTAAATGTCAGTGTGTGGTTTGTATCAGTGTTCATCGATGATCTCAGTGAGGTTACCTCGCCGCCAGATCTCCCAGGATCCTGAAATCAATAAACATTTAACACCTTCAGCTTCACAGCAGCAGCACAGTGTTTCTACGCATTACTATCGATGTGCTAATTAACTGTCATTGTGGTATAGAGCTGTTCAACTTTGAAGTTCTATTCATCCTGTTAACACACAGGGTAACGTACAAAGTCACGGTGTAACGTTCAAAGTCACAGGGTAACGTACAAAGTCACGGTGTAACGTTCAAAGTCACAGGGTAACGTACAAAGTCACGGTGTAACGTTCAAAGTCACGGTGTAACGTACAAAGTCACGGTGTAACGTTCAAAGTCACGGTGTAACGTTCAAAGTCACAGTGTAACATACAAAAGTCACAGGGTAACGTTCAAAGTCACCGTGTAATGTTCAAAGTCACAGTGTAACGTACAAAAGTCACAGGGTAACGTTCAAAGTCACGGTGTAACGTACAAAGTCACGGTGTAACATTCAAAGTCACGGTGTAACGTACAAAGTTTCAGTGTAACGTTCAAAGTCACAGTGTAATGTTCAAAGTCACAGTGTAACGTACAAAAGTCACAGGGTAGCATTCAAAGTCACCGTGTAACGTTCAAAGTCACAGTGTAACGTACAAAAGTCACAGGGTAACGTTCAAAGTTACAGTGTAATGTACAAAAGTCACAGGGTAACGTTCAAAGTTACAGTGTAATGTACAAAAGTCACAGGGTAACGTTCAAAGTCACGGGGTGACGTTCAAAGTCACGGTGTAACGCTCAAAGTCACGGTGTAACATTCAAAGTCACGGTGTAACGTACAAAGTCATTGACTAACATATTTCACTTGGTCACCTAACAAGTACTGGATTAACATACAAAGTCACAGAGCAATGTGATACAATAAACTATTTTAAGTGGCAGCCCACACAGATTAGTTTAGTTAATTTGTTAACCACAAAAGATGATATGTGATGCATGTTGTAATAAGTTAAACACACTGACCCGCCTCGAGACACCACCAGCTTCACTTTGACTTTGTACGACACAATGATGCCGAGAATCTCCTTATTGGCTCCTTCTCTTAACCTGATCAAGACAGAAAACACTCAGTCACACCAATCCTATTCGTCTGAAGTCCTTCACCACTGAATCGACTGGGAAGATTCCCACCTTCTCTCTACAAATGTACTCAACACGCTGTAGAGGCTGAAGCTACAGCTTATCTCTTTACACAAAACATTAGTCTGGACTATGTCCCATTGGATGACAACAAACAGAAGCACATGGCTCTCACAACACCCCACCCCCCAGGTACGCCGTCTGAATTTCCCACCCTCCAACAGGCCTGGAAGGCATCATGATTGCTGCTGGACTCACAGTGTGCTGGAGGCCAGGTTGGTGTCCTCGTGCTTCAGTTTCCCGTCCAGAGCGAGGCCTCGTTTCTCTCGGTTGTTGGCCAGAAACGGAGTGAGAGTGAAAACTTTGCAGAAAGTCGAACTGGGAGCGACGACGTCACTGAAGACAGAATCACACGAACATGAAGCCGGATATCAACGTCTGACTGGATTCAATTCAAACTATTCAAACTGGGCTAGAAATGTTAAAGAAGTCCTTAATATGCTCAGAAAAAGGGAAATTTGGACATCCATCACAACATCTGGATAGACTGAGGAAAACCAGGTGACACAACTGAAAGCTCCAGAACAAGTACTCAGTGGACCTTGGGTGAGTTTAGTCTAAATCAAAGCAGAGAGAAATGAGACTGACTCGGACTCCTCGGTGGCCACCGGACATTTGTACTGAGCCGTGTTGAACAGGCAGATGTCTGCATACTGTCGCACTGTGGAAACACAAATCAATCGATCGATCAATAACACAAACCTCACAGATCAATAGAGAGAGAGGACGGGTGCATTCACGTACCTGAGATCTTCATCTTCTTCACAGTCTTGTTGGTGTTGTTGGTGACGTGGACATTGACGCTGATTGGCTCTCCGTGGTAATAAATCTGAGAGAGACATATTATTATTATTATTAATATCATTATTGTTTTTATTATTATTGTGGCAAACCAGGGGGAAAAGCCGAGCCAACACAGCACAGGAGGCGGATCCCCAAGCTCAGGTTGGGGGAGGTGACAGAGGGAGTATACTATCCGGTGCAGGTGCTGCAGCCACTAGGCACATGGCAGTGGTCACACCTGCGGCCCATGAGCTAATTGGAAGGAGCATATGTTCCCAGGGCTGTGAAGCCGGAGCGGGAGACAGACTGGGCAGAGGATACAAGGATCTCCTGAACCTCTGGAGAGGAGCTTCAGCAGACCGGAGGTAATTAAGTGGACTCACCTCCCTCCTCTGCTCTGCCCAAACAGGACGGAGGAATCATCTCACGCTGGGTGTAGACCGAAGGCCAAAGACCCCGACCGGGAAGAATCTTTTGTTGAGTTTGACCCTATCCCGCTTTACCCTACCCTGTTTATTAAAGGACACTTTTTGTTACATGGCTACTGTCTCTGAGTCACCTGTTTTATCGCTGAATCTTGCCTCCACGTCCCCCGGGTTGCCACATTATTCAATTTCAATTAATTTTGTATAGCCCAAAATCACAAATCACAAATTCTCCTCAGAGGGCTTCACATCCTCTGTCCCGGAACCCTCATACCAGAACAGGAAAAACTCCCCAAAAGAAAACTTTAACGAGGGTGTTATGACTCTGAGTCATAATACAGGATCATATATGCTGCGTGCCTCCCTGTCTGAGGGTGGTGCTGTGTATTGTGACATTTTCTTTGTATCCTGTAAATGGCAGGTGATTGGACTGGGGACTCATGAGGCGGGACATAAGAAGGCACCTGTGGAGGCTGGCCGGCTCTCTCTCTTCTCCCCGGCTCCCGACCGGACCGTGCTGCACAGCAACAGGGATCTCTGTAATACGGATCGGGGTGACCGCTGATCACATACTATAGCTAACAGTCCATGTAGTAGTAGTAGGGGTCAGCCGCTCTTTTGTTTTCTTTGTTTTCTCCTGTTTTGGGTAGGGAGCTATTGTAAGCTGCCTGTCTTTTGTTTTGTTCAGTTTGGGAGTAGGTCAGGTAGTTGATTAATGAAGATTGTTTTGTTTATTGTTTTGGGCCAGGCTCACCCTGACGTATATTACTACCAATGGTGTAAAATAATAAATATGATGGACTGTATTACAGCATGAATGGTCGTTCTTGGGAGTGGGAGAGAGGGGGGAGACCTTATGTTATGCTGCGTCCAGGTTTCCCTAGACCGGCATAACGGGGGAGAAAAGAGGAAGAGACCTGTGAGAGAGCAACAGAGGAGGATCCTCTATCAGGATGGACAGAAGTGTGATAGATGTCATGTGCACAGAATGAACAACATAACAGAGTTACAACACATTCAATGCATATGACAGAACCACGACAGGAGGCAAGACCAGGGTCCAGGTATAACCAGGATCCATGATTATTAGTAGTAGTGGTCGTAGTATTGTTGTTAAAATAACATCCATTCCATCCATCCATCCACTTCCTCCTCTTATGTCACGGTGGCAGCAGGCTGACCCAGACCTCCCTCTCACCGGCAACATGTTCCAGCTCATTCTGGGGGATCCCGAGGCGTTCCCAGGCCAGCTGGGAGATGTAATCTCTCCAGCGTGTTCTGGGTCTTCCCGGGGTCTCTTCCCAGTTGGACGTGCCTGGAAAACCTCCAGTGGGAGGCGTCCAGGAGGCATCCTAATTAGATGCTGAACCACCTCAGCTGACTCCTGTCGACGTGAAGGAGTAGCGGCTCTACTCCAAGCTCCCTCCTGATGACCGAGCTCCTTACCCTATCTCTAAGGCTGAGCCCGGCCACCCTACGGAGGAAGCTCATGTCGGCCGCATGTAGCCGCGACCTCGTTCTGTCGGTCACGACCCAGAGTTCGTGACCATAGGTGAGGGTAGGAACATAGACCAACCGGTAAATTGAGAGCTTTGCCTTCCGGCTCAGCTCCCTCTTCACCAAGACGGTCCGGTGCAGCGCCTGCTTTACTGCTGCAGCCGCACCGATCCGTCTGTCGATCTCC